TATCTATCTATCTATCTATCTATCTATCTATCTATCTATCTATCTATCTTTTGTAAAGATTTATTTTTGCCTTTTTTGCCTTATATTAAGGATAGGACAGCAGCATTGTAGACAGGAAGCGAAGTGGGAAAGAGAGAGAGGGGGAACAGGATCGGGAAACATGAACTCGGGAGACCAGAAGCGCAACAGGACAATATGCCCACGATGTTATTGGCGCCAACACCAATATTTTTCTTACCAACATTATTTAAATGATCTTTTTTGTGTTCCGCAGAAGAAAGAAAGTTACAGGTTTGGAATGGCATGAGGCTGAGTAAATGATAACAAAAGTTTAATCTTAAGCATTAATGTGTGTTAACATTAGTGTAATGCAAAGCCTATAATGGCTTTTTGATTTTTTTTTCCAATAATATCATCTAAACCAAAATCATGCTGCACAACATTGGATATATTCATGATATATTCATGGCACAATATAATCAAATGAGAAGATCGAGAGTTTCACCTACTCCGATATTGGAAGAATTGTTACATTAGGATTATTTAGCTGACAACTCTTTTAGTGTGAGATGAATAACAGAAGCTGAATTAGGTTTGATGAGAGCCGTAGCTGTGGAATGAGAACCCCTCCCTCCCCTGATGTCATTGCATTCTTTTACTTTCGTTCCACTTCGCTTCTCTGAATAATCATTCTGATTGTTTCATTTCATGGGCCACTCAAGGCAGTGTTTTTTTTGTCCAGCAAAAATTGACCTGCATTTCCAATAGGGTGGAAAATTGTTTATCATTCTCACTACTCCCCACTGTTAGGCACAGTGGTGAGTAGTCTACTTTTTAAACTCTTTAAGCTTAATTTCAATAGTTTTGTTTTTAATTTTATTATATACAAATGTATATAATTAATAAATGCATTTTTCAAAACCCGTACATTTTAGCAAATTTATTTAAGAATTTATATAATATAATAATTAGGTCTTCCCTGTCGTAGAGTATGGGTACATCCCTAAATGTGTTTTTCGTAACATTTACAATTGTGGTGAACGGCATTGTTTTGTTTGTGTGCATATGAGGAATGACTGGAGTATGTTTACTAATTCAAAGAACATTTTTCATTTTAATATAATAATTGTATTAGTAATTATTGAAAATAATGGTTTAATTTCAAATTAAACGAAAACGGTACTGTTCATAGATATCAGAGACATTTGGGGAAAAAAGTAATCAAGGTTTTTTTCTTTTGTGATCAGTCTGATTAAAGTGATGGTGTACTTGCAAAATATACATAAAATGTGACTGGCAAAATATGGAATTAATGCTCTATTAATTAATGAGATAGAGATAAATTGATGCTCTTACTTGAGTTCTGTGCAGTATTTTCATTAAGTAATAAAGAAACTGTGTTGGTTCCAACCAGTGTCATCATTATTAGGGGCTTTGCTGAGGCATATATGCATTTAATGTCAGATTCTCTTTTAATGTACCACAATCATGCAAAACAAAATAAGAAATGAAATGTAATGCCTGTAAAGAACTATAAATGTAATAGACAGGTGAATTTTAATCAAAGTTTGATTATAGGTTATGACACCAAGATGACCTGATGAGTAACACCCAAAGCAATAGGGCATTGGGGTTGAGTGTACACGTTTCGACCTAATTCAGGACTGCGTGATTGTGCGTGTATGCACCAGCCCGGCTGCACGTGGTAAATAATCATGTTCATGCCACAGCACAATGAGAACTGAAGAGTTGCTTGTGAGCATCATTCAGTCCATTTTAACTCAAACGGTTAATATTAATTCACATTGCTGATTTAAAAGTTTTGAACACAATGGCTTTGGCCTGTTTCTGTGTAGCCAGTGTGATTGTCCCATGCCTCAAACACGTGGACCATGAAAACACTCACAAGTACCTGTAGGTCAAAATCTCTTTTTCTTGTCTTGTAGGTTCAGGGTTTGGTGTCAGAGTGGGCATGGAATAAAGATGATATCATCTTGCACACGCTGCCCCTTCACCATGTGCATGGCATCGTATTTAATGTCAGATTCTCTTTTAATGTACCACAATCATGCAAAACAAAATAAGAAATGAAATGTAATGCCTGTAAAGAACTATAAATGTAATAGGTGAATTTTAATCAAAGTTTGATTATAGGTTATGACACCAAGATGACCTGATAAGTAACACCCAAAGCAATAGGGCATTGGGGTTGAGTGTACACGTTTCGACCTAATTCAGGACTGCGTGATTGTGCGTGTATGCACCAGCCCAGCTGCACGTGGTAAATAATCATGTTCATGCCACAGCACAATGAGAACTGAAGAGTTGCTTGTGAGCATCATTCAGTCCATTTTAACTCAAACGGTTAATATTAATTCACATTGCTGATTTAAAGGTTTTGAACACAATGGCTTTGACCTGTTTCTGTGTAGCCAGTGTGATTGTCCCATGCCTCAAACACGTGGACCATGAAAACACTCACAAGTACCTGTAGGTCAAAATCTCTTTTTCTTGTCTTGTAGGTTCAGGGTTTGGTGTCAGAGTGGGCATGGAATAAAGATGATATCATCTTGCACACGCTGCCCCTTCACCATGTGCATGGCATCGTAAATAAACTGATGTGCCCACTCTGGGTGGGTGCTACCTGCGTCATGCTGCCAGAGTTCAGTGCTCAGAAGGTACAGTTCTTCCACTAACCACATCATTACCACAGTTCCTTCATATAACCTATAGATCCTAAATCTGTTGACTTAAAAACCACACTTAAAAGTGACTGAAAATCACTGAATGAGAAATCAAAGGGCACTTTTCCAGCCAAGCATTTCACAAAATATTTTTGTTGTCATGCTTTATATTGTTTAATTGCATTCGAAATATAGTTAATTAATATTTGTAGTTGCACTGTTAACTTGACCTTCAACTACAACCAAACCCTTACCCCAAAACCTAACTTTAATCCCTATTATCCAAAACCTAACCCTGTCCTTACTCATAAATATAAGCATATGATACAGTAGCTCAAACTCTTTAGCAGTAAATGTGGGAATTATTCAGGACAACATGCAGGTACACAGTGAATCCATAGACTTACAGGCATTTCATGTTAGTACATAGTAGATAAGGCCACTTAATATAAAGTGTGACCAAACTTTAAAATTATACTCCATTAATAAACTGTTCAAAATGAAGACTAAATGTATTGTGACACTAGTTGTCAAAAATTAGTGAAACATTTAATGTGATGGACTACATCTGCTCTGTTAGAACACCTGTGTGAACTGACTGAACTTCATATGTCTGTTAAAAATTGGCTGGCTGGCTGGCTAAAAGTCGCTTAGAAAAGTGTTAGAAAAGTTTGTTCTGAGAAAGGTCATACATAATTTGTTTACAGATGCCATTTGGTTTGATATTCGGTTCTCTAATGCAATGATGCTCATACTTTTATTTGTATAAATTTTATATATACAAATACTTTTGTAGCTGGTGCATGCATAGCATCTTATTACTGTAGTACAGTCTGAAATATTACCTTTTTTACAGTTATATGGTAACTAGCATGACCAAAAATGATTATTAATGAATCCAGTAATGATAGCAAGTGTAAATAAATATTCTGGGTCATTTACTACTTGATTTATATGTATCACATTTGTAACATACCTTCAATTTGCACTCATCCCTTTGGACACTTTTGGACACAGAATGCACTATAATAGTTCATAGTAATACAGTACACTTGAGGGCTGTTAACATCTGAAATAGTTAACCCTTCGCTTAACCCTGGATTATCGTTGTCCTAAACCCCAGGTAAAGCTACATTTTACACTTGTAATTTAAAAGTGGGGTTAGCACTGCTTTTTACCTCGAATTATAAAACCCTACAGTGCGAAACAATGT